ATCATGAAGGAGAAAGTAGAAGATAAGTCCATTTTGTTCGATGTAATTTTTTTCGCAATCGGAGCGGTTTATTTTACCAATGGTGTTTGGTTTTTTTCTTTTGTAAGACTGATTCAGATGATTCTGCTGTTTCTTATGAAACGCCTATTCTAAACGTCATCAATAAACATTTGGTGATTCCTGATATGTCTTTCATATATACTAGGGTGATCCGTTTGTCACTTTCTATACTCGGTTTCGTTTACGCTGATGAGTAGGGGTTGATGTTTTTTGACGATGTTGGATTGATGGCTGTCCTTTTGATGGATACCTATTAGATACTTCTGTTTATTTTTCCACGCTGTAAGTTTGCTTCAGTATATTCTCGCTTTCTTGAATAAAGTTCGTACGCAGTTTATTTCGTGAATTTTTGTGTTGTTGCTACTGTAATTGAGAATTTGATCTGTGTGGGTCGGATTCCGATAAACTTGAGTCCCCGGTTTTTCTGCGTTGATTCTGGTGATTAGTAGGTCGGAGAATGATAACTTTTTGTTCGACTCGTTTTCCATTGTCAATGTTTTGTCATCGAAGTTGTTGATCAGATTGTGGGTGTTTTTCTTCTCGTCCTTTTCGATTATGACATATGTGTCGTCCATAAGCGAATCCACATCATCGGCTTGATCACTAGTAAGATCAAGGTTTCGAGTGTCAGCCTCACTGATTTTGTAATTAGTCTTGATAATAGTGATCCCATCGGTGTTCCTATCATTTATTTGTAGATTTTATTGTTGAATAGAAAGTGTGTTGATGAGCACAAATCAATGATTTCTAGTAACTTTCGACATTGAAGCTCACTGTACTTTGGGAGATTTGTGTCTTCCTTGAGGAGGAGGGATAGAATTTCCTTTGCTAAGTTTGGTTCCACTGAGGTGAATAAGACTGTTTCATCAAACGATATCATTAGTTCGTTGTTCATCTTTATGTCCTTAACCTTAGACAAGAATTCTATTAGAGATTCTACGGATTGATTGGATGGATCCAATAAATGTTTCAATATTCTTGAAATTTCTCTCCATAAATTGTGTTGGAATTCCGGAGAGTGATACAGATGGATGTAGTGTGATAATTGGGTTTTTTATTTTTGGGATACATTAAGATCAAGGCAGTACTGAATCATGAGGTTTCATTCTCGATTGATCTTGCTTTGATTTTTATCCTGCGTTGACAAGCTTGTTTAAGGCCCTTGAGAATTTGTTGTCTAGCCTTTAGATTGGATGTATGTCCAATGATCTACACAGGCATTTATATTCAAGTAGCTTCCTGCCTTTCATTATATATTTTCCATTATCTATAATTACTGTATTGCGTTGTTTGTCCTCTGGAACTATGATAATTTCTTCTCTGGTTCTGAGTTTCTTTAAACATTTTGTTCGTGTCCGGTCAGTTGGGTCTTGTCTTTATTTCATCGAGTTAACAGTACTATGATTTGTCTTTTTTCGTGTTGAGTTTCTTTATTTTTGCGTAATGACTTCAATGCAGAGAAGAATTTTAGTTTGAAGCGTCACTTGTAATATAGTTCAATTCTATTCGGAGCAAGTGTTCTTCTATGTTCATCAGAGGTTGTTTTGAAAGGTTGACCACGCAGTGTTTTCTTCGGTGAGTGGTTTTCAAGTCTTGATTAATTTTTATTTGAGAGTGCTTCTTTTTGTTTTCTGTATCGTCTGCTCGATATCCTGACAGCTGTTGTTGAGATTCTTAAATGTTCTAATGTGCGTATCCTCTCTAGCTTCCTCTTTTGGTCATCCATGATGTGGTGGTTTTTGCGGACGCTGTAGTTCGCATCAGTTATCATAAAGTGTACCCATTTGACTTACACTTTTCTCATCTATTCTCCATCCAATTGGGCAGTTGTTTGATGGTCTGTATCTTACAATTTTTGGCAGAACAAGCTAACGAAGAAACTAGTGAGGAAAATATGGTTTTTATCGAGTAGAAACCCGTCTTTTGGAGAATTTCTTTCAATTCCGAACGACGAGGGGCGTGCTACGCACATAGAATTTTGAGATAGTGGAGAAGATTTGTAGTTTAAGTGAATGATCCAGGTGGAGTTTTTTCTCCGAGTTGGATGGTTTGGTCGTCAGAACTTAAAAGTGTTTTCTTCAGAGAAAGGCCTATCCAAGAAATTGCCTAGGATAATATTATACGTATTATGAGAAGATAAAGTGAATATTTAAAAAAAATTGATCAGTCAGCTCTTTATGATTATTGGGTTACTGTAATTGCTATTTACATCATACAGTGCTTATCATTTTTACATATCTACCAGTCAAGTTACACAGAGTATAACACATCCATACGTTTAAGAATTATACATAAATAAGAACATATAAGCAAATATTTTCATAGTAAATATATATATATATATATATATATATATATATATGTACAAATGATACACTGTAAAAAATATGAGTCTAAAATTTGGCACGTATTGTTTGGATCTAATTAATTATAGTACAAAGAATCATAATAAAACAAAACAACTGATGTATCGGGAAGTCAAGTAGATAACTTATGTAATTAGTTATAGACATAGCAGGTTTAATTCATAATTCAATATACATCTTTACAAACAGTAACAAGATAAACAAATAAGTATTGGTTTAGTTGATGAAAAGAAATACTGTTTAACCTTCATTAACCAAAATTCTTGATTTTAATCTACTCAGATCTAATACTGACTTTTATCATCTGATGAAAATAAGAGAAAACTTATTCACTATTTATTCTGATTAAATATATGTTCCTATGAGAAAGTATGTTTTCTGTTGAAATCAATTTATCATTGAAAAAATTCAGTCTGATATTTCTTAAAAGATCGTTCGATAAATTTAGGGTGAGAAACAGTGAAACACTAATGATTGTCTATTCGTTTGAAAAGTTATTATTATTAATAATATTATTATTAGCCTCTAGTACATGTGGCTTCAAAATACACTCTAAATGTGAGGGCTAATGATACGATCTATTTGATCAAACTGAATTTGAACAAGATTTGAACCTAGGACTTAGTGGCTAAAAACCAAATATCCTAACCAATAAGCAATCGCCCCACTTAGTACATGGTTATATAGACAATAGAGATAAGTAGTGTAATATTTAAGCGCGTTAATCCAATGACTGGGTGAGAAATTTTTAACCACAAAGCCATCATTTCATTTCAATGACAATTATAACTTATTGCAAGAATGTTTTGTAAAATAAAGTTACTGTGTGTTATGTGTTTTGAAACCTATTGAACCTAATTTATTTGGAACAGTTGGATAGTAGTATTACTAGCCCTCACACAAATCATTTACTTTGTCTCGATTAACTAAACTTGTATTTTATAAATGAATTAAGTTATTGTCATTTGATCATCAGAAACGACCGAATGTTAATTCAAGGAAATCTTGCAGGTTAGTGTTTGTTTGTTTGTTTGTTTTGGAGTTTTCGTTGAGTACATTATTTCATTTGATTTCCTAATTATTTTTATTGAAGAATACATCCCCAAATGGTTATTCCAAAACTTAACTTTTCACAGCTACAAACAATATCAGTAATCAAGACAGATATTTTGAATTGTACTATATCGTGTACATAACACTCTAGTTAAGTTGTAAAACTGACTCATTTATTTACTTTTCTAACCCAATCTGTCACACAGTCTGATCATTAATAATATTCGCGTTTTTCAGAAGCCTCCAAAACTACAAGTTTAATGGTAACAATACAAATAAGCTTAGTTCTATGTAACTAAATGAATTCCCCACGTAGGCCTTCAGTCGAATTCTCACTGTCTGACTTTATTAGAGGTCCAAGAGTCACAGATTTCCTGAGAATACATAATGGTTAGAAAGTTAATATTGCAAATATTTAATGTACCAGGCATGACACAGACTTGTTTTCTTAAAATCACCATTGGCATTTGGATTTCATTTTTAATTTGTAGGTTTAACTTACAGTAGACTGACTTGTTTGACTAGCCTGTAGGAATCTGGGTGATCTTAACAATTAAACTAAATTAACTAGAAAAGTTCAAATACACTCCACTGACAATGCCATACCCGATGGTCAACATCAATACCTATGAAAAATCAAGCCTCGATATCGTTGATATTTTAGAAAATATTAAAATCCAAATAGAAAATATTGTCCAACGCTCAACTTCATTGGTCATATAATAGAATTGGTCACAAGCACTACTACTACAATTCAATGCCCAAATCTGTCCTTGAATATCAATCGTACTAAATAATTACTATCAGCATATTAGGTTTAATATTTTATAAGGGACTAAAATTATCCCTAACTTAAATCAGTCAGTTCATAGAATCATCATGAATTAAAAAAACTGAAGTGAACTGCAAGGACTGAAGGCTTTTCGAAGCTGTGAATACGTAATGCATAGTAAGTAACTAATCAGTTATCAAATATAAGTTTATTTGATCGACTCTGACGCACTTTTTTTGTAACTAAAACACAGTGATACTACCCAATGACCCCAAAACGAAGCATCCGGAAAGAGTTTTGAACTAATAATCACGTGGTCGAAAGTCAATTGCTCTAACAAATATACCATTGCTCTACTGATATACATGCAAAGTATCTATGTATATTTGCACGTTATGAGTCAAGAGACAATTAAATTAAACATAGTTTTCAGTCATATTTGTATATCAATGTGTTTTCAGGAATTAACTACGTTTTAAGTACTCTACTAATTATTATTCATAAATTAGAAAAATGTCCTTCTAATGTAATTCACATTATACTTTAAAAGGTCAATTTTTGATAAAGTAGAATCATGTAAATCACTTTCTTGTAAATCGCTAGAACTATATTCAGAATATCTTTACAGTATTAGTTCAGAATGAAGAGACATTCTTCAGAGGAACCGAATCTCTCAGTAATGAAATATAGTTTTAAATGATGAGAATATGATTTTTTTTAAAAACTAAATTACAAAATGTTTTACTCACCAGTTCATTATGTCCATTCACCTTTTGACCAGATGTAACTGAATCAAAAATTAATGACAAAACATGCACAAAAATCACCGAGTTGTTTTATCTTTGAAAACAGATATTTTATTCAGTAGTTTAAATGTTACAAAACATTAGGGTAGAAGAAAAGTTCGTTAAACCCAACTAAATTTTCATAAGAAAATAATGAGGATAGAAGCACACAGCATATTATCAGTTAATACTGGATGATCAGTAAAAATAGGTAGATATATTAAGAAGGTGGATTTTTCTACAGACTGACAGAAGTCAGGGAACTATTCGAATAATACCCGCAAATGATCAACCTAACAACAATCATCTACTTACTAGTGACTAATTTTAAGGATTATTTATACGAATATTCGTCAAGATTAGAACGAATAGTTTGACAGTAATTGAGCGCCGAGTATAGAGAAGTCATTATATGTGAAAATTATATTTGAAATATTCTCAGCGATTGAAATTTAACTAATTCCAACGTTTCGTCCAGCTAACTTGTCTGGACTTCTTCAGGGTAATAATCAAAATCAAAATTATCAAAGAAATATATAGCTTTTAACAATCAGGTTTAACACAGTATAATCCTGATTGTTAAAAGCTATATATTTCTTTGATAATTTTGATTTTGATTATTACCCTGAAGAAGTCCAGACAAGTTAGCTGGACGAAACGTTGGAATTAGTTAAATTTCAATCGCTGAGAATATTTCAAATATAATTTTCACATTTAAGGATTATTGTTGAAATCCTATTGAGAAGCCGTGAGTGGTTTAGTTCAACTAAGTCGTGTAATACACAGAAATCATAAGCGATCATGAATGAACGTCGTATTGTTTCCAAATGACTTAAGTTATGAATATAAAGATTTGAACCTCACTTCAGCGATTTAAAGGTTACTCTTTCGCCTTGACGTCTGAAGGTCCTGGTCTTAGTCCTATTGAAGAGGCATACTTATTCACTGCTTGAAGTAAGACGAAACAGCTGATTTTCAATGAATAACTTTTTTCCATTTGGTTTTAACATTGTTAGAAATTTAGTATACAAATTCTTGGTTATAAGTAGCTAATATTTGTCACCTGGAGTGTGTTACATATATTTGGTATGTCTATTAAACTTATCGACATTAGGTTTAACTCAGTGATATATTAAAATATAATTGCTTATAAATGGAACCCATCCAATGACCTTTGTATCCCATTCGCAGTGAAAACTGATATTTACTTTGATGTTTTGCCGACTAATATGAGAGCCTAGATCCAAAATGAAATATTTGTCTAGAAAAAATTGTTGAATAAGCTTTTAAACAAACTGGTACTTTGAATTTAGTCAACTTTGTATAAAAATATTATTCTTTCAATGATTTTGTGACGATGATGATTTCAACAAAAAATTAAAGTTAACTTGTGAACCGCAGATTCGACTTGATTGACTTCGTTGATCACAGCTTCCTGTTGGAAACTTGGGCAAATCTACTCCGAAGTTAATCACCGATGGGTATATAACATTTACTTACGTACATTTGATGGATGTTTTATATCATTTAAGAATAATTTTTATCACAAATCAGAATTATTTAGAAAAGTGATAGTGAGTATTGGATAGTTGTTTCGTTCTGCTTCAAGAATAAGAAGTAAATATTATTCATTGTATTAACTTGAAAAAGTGTTTTGCTGGATTCCAATCCATTAGTGAAATAGTTTAGACATCTCCGGAAACATCATAGTTTTGAATTCGATTCCTAAAGGGTCTTGAGTGAGAACTATTAACGAGTCCTATACTAAAACGAAATAATCATCCAATACATACCAATTTCAGGTGGTAAATCAACAAAGTCAGTGTATGACAAATACCACCTTTAAATTAGACCAATATCCACCAAAACTATTCAATAATATTTGTAATGAACAATTTACCTCGAAAACATTTTATTAAATTAATTAAACATGAGAAATACTAACAAAAATATCTGTTCATACACTACTGATCAATCTTAATATTATTTAATTGGTATTAAATTTCTGACAAATGTAAAACAAACTGTTCCCAACCATATTCAGTAACTCAGAGATTAACTTTCACTGCTAATACTGATTTTGATAACTAAACTAAGAATAACTGTTTACAATTCAAATGAGACACCTTAATCTACGATTCTAAGAGAATTTTATAATAGTTGATAATTTGTGGTAGAATAAGGAGTTTATTTATAGATGGGAAATGACATATACTTAAATCGAGAATAATCTTGCATTGATTAATCAGCTTATTTTCCAGTTTGGTGATATTTCAAAGAGATCGATAATCCTTGGCTTTATTGTACAGATACTTAATTATATTAAAAATAACGTTCTAAATTTCCTTTACTGATGAAGTATTCAACTAGCTAATAACTTGGAAGCTGATGACTAAATCTGATTGTGAATTAGGTATTACTTTTAGTTTTGAATATTTGTCGACATCTACCACCAATGCGTTTATGCATCTTGTCAATGAATTTTTTTTCATTTGGTTCATTTACTAATCAATTATATTAACTTACTTCTAGAAGTTTCTTTATACATTAAATAACTAAATAAAATAAACACAATTAATTGATTAAAGAAACTAACATGGATTAACTGCTGGACAACAGACTTTCTCAATATCTACCATAAATTTACTGACATTAATTGAATTATTTTCGAAATAAGCTTTTGATTCTGGATCGAGTACAAGAAGGGAGACTTTTGATGGATTTTTCAAAATACATTGTACTACCTCTTGATGTTGGTTAGGTACTGAAAAAAAAATTTGAAAAGAAAAAAATAGTTAATTTTCGTTTGTTTCCTTTCCATTTGTTTGTCGTAGATACTCGTACACCAGACATTATATTATTATTCAGTGTTGATATATAAAGAATATATCAAATTATAACATGTAAATGATCAATAAGGAAGACGACTGATAACAAAACAATGATCATGATAGTGAATAGTTATCATATCGTATAAATGACTACACTTCAGCTCAAAACAAAAGAGACATTTTTATAAAAAGTAAAGGTCAATTCAATAAATAAGTGGAATGAGCTGTTGAGATTGTTGGTTATGAACGACTGATGACCTCCAATGTTAATCAAAACATTGAACAGGTACCATTTTGGGGGTTTATTCAAGGTCGATTTACTGTCTGAGTACTAACTTATGACTTGTCTTTGGGAAATTTGCTTGTGAAGACGACTTTAGCAAAGCGTTAGAGTTTGAAGAACGGTTTGCGAAAATCCTTCCAAAGTATTTGAAACCAGGTCTGTTGAGAAGGACAAAATCATAATTCTACAGATAAGACACTGAGTTGAGACTACAACAACAAATGAATAACAAAATGTTAAATAAGGCAGCCATATAGTCCGATTTCGGATGACTTTCAAGGGCTTTTCGAATAACGGAAACGCAGATTTAAAAAACGCATTTTGAAGTAAATAATATTCATGTACCATAGATTTTCCAAAATATGGTACATATGACCTCATTTCAAGTAATAATATGATTAACTCTTTACTTATTTCCAATTGGAGTGATTTGAGGCAAGCCCTGTCATTACATCATTGTTGTCTGTCCGTTGGATTAGTTACAGTATTTGATTTCATGTTCATGAAATAAAATATGCCTATGTCTAGGTTCTTCACACGTGGACAAAACAGGAAATAACTTGTTGAGTAAACATGATAAATTATATTTTATTAAACAATGATAACCATTCGATTTTAATTTTCCATATACTAGAATACTGATCAGTCGATTTAAAGAGTTCATTCTTAGCCCTACTGAAAACATTCAAGGATTTAAGTAACACAGCGTACTATTTTCTCTATAATTCAAAAGGAAATAAAGAGAAACAATAAGGGAGATTAGGTAACGTACGGTTGTTGATAAATCACAAAAATAATATTTCGGGTAGTACCAAAAGAATGTTACGTTTTTGTCGAATACTTTAAAATGACATTTTTTGGATATTGGTAAAACATGAGAAAAGAAAAAGAGATTGACCGCAAAACTTGCATCTAAATAATAACCATTTGATATGTTTAATGTAGCTGAACTATGAGTGCGACTATAATCAAACGACGTTACTAATCTAATTTTTTATGTATCTAAGTCTAAAGTTAACAATTGGATCGGTTATAAAGCACTTTAAATAAGATCACAGTTCAACGCTGACTAATAACCCATTCATTTTAAACCAAGTTGAAAGAGAAAAAACTTTCGCAAATATTGCGCAATATCTAGTCGTAGTAACTTTTCGGAATCATTCATCCTGATGCTCAGCAAAATATTATCATAGACATAAAATGATCGTTTTGTTTTCGAACATCTGACCCACCTCTAGTGTGAGATCCCCAACTTCCTACCAATTAAGAAGTAAAGTTCGTAGCATTCTGATCTGAGATCCTTTACAGCCGTGAAAAATAATCTCTGAAAGCAAAGAACATACTTCACTTATCAGTATTTGATCAGAGATTTCTTCCAGGAAATGTCTATTTATGGTTGAACCACCAACTGAGTAAACGATATAGTGAGATGTAGAGCTCTATGTAGAAATAACTAAAAAGTTGGCGAAACTCTAAACTGTCATCTACTGAGGCGTTTGAGAACCGTTCTGGATGACTAGCAATCCCCTATTTTAACACACAATGTTATCTGTTGTAGGAGTAGGTTACCAGAAGACTTAGAATCGACAAACGAAAACATGAGATCAATCTGTGATGTTAATGACTGTTGAACTGAGCCGCATCAGCGAGTGCATATTTACGTGTTTAAACATTAGAGATAATCTTATTCTATGGTTAGAGACATAGTGAGATCACTTGAAATCGGTCATAGTGTGGTGTAAGCTACATATGTCCGTCGACATAAGTAGCATGTGGCATAGCTCAGGAGTGGGATGCCTTTAAACAGTCAGTCAGTAACAACGTAGAACTTCGTACATGCGTACATCAGTTCGAGTTGTTACACCACATTAGCACAGGGATGCAGTGGTCGATTCAAATCCCGTAGCGGCAGAGGTGGTAAGAGTATAAGCAGTAAGCGGAAACATTAGGGTTTGAAGATGTTATTTAAAGAGTATAATACAGTGAAATAAATTTGGAAAGAAAATAAAGGACATGAAGAATCTAGAAGATTAGAATTTGGGAGAACACAGAGAGTGGATGCACCTGCGCCATCCCAAACGATTTTGAGCCATGTCATTCAGGGTCTCTAACAATCGGTTGCTATCATCTCGCGGTCCCCAACCAGGTAGTCTATACCTACCAACATGACTCAGTCCACTTATCAGTGACTTCATGGACTTGTGCCATGTTTTGGTCTGGTCGCTTCTAGCTTTCTCCCAACCTACTCCTACACCAGAAAACATCGCACGTCGAGGCAGTCGGTCGTTGGGCATTCGTAACACATGTCCCAGCCATCTCAACTGATGAAGTTTCACCACTTCATCGATTGATTTGCATCCTTACCTAGTACCCGTTTCCTAACAACTGAGTTACTTACTTACTCGATGGTCCCAGAATATACAAGCAATGTTTCGAAGACATCTATGACCAAACACTAGTAACCTACGGATATCCTCTACTCTTACCGGCCATATTTCACTGCCATAAAGTAGGACGGAACGAACTGCTGCGCAGTAAACACGTCCTTTGGTTGATAGACGGATATCTCGTCTACGCCACAAATGAAGCAAGTTGGCAAAAGTTGGTCGAGCCTTCTGAATCCGTGCTGATGAGAATTCCAAGATAAGTGAAGCGATCGACACGCTCAATTACTTCATTCCCTATCATTAGTTCGGGTGTTGATGCAACCCAATCCTGAAGCAACATTTTGCATTTCGAGGGGGAGAATCGCATGCCTAACATGCTTGCATTGTTGCTTATCGTGGTCAGAAGACTCTATATTTTGTCAGCGTCTTCACCAAATAGAACTATGTCATCGGCATATTCTAGGTCAAAAAGTGAATCTCCCGGTAGAAGTTCAACCCCTGGAAATTTAGATGAGGAAAGTGTCATCTCTAAAAGCGCGTCAATGAAAAAGTAAAACAAGAACGGAGAGAGTGGACACCTTTCAACAGGAGGTTGAGAAGATTGAACTGAATAAAAAAGAAAGGGAAACATAAAGGAATTGAGAATTGGAAGAAACACGAAGGATGAAAAGCTTCGAATGACAATAAATTCGAAATTAGACAGTAAATACAAAACAAATAGGTCCATGCTATTATTGCAGCGGACAAGTACTCATGTGCAACGTAACAGTGTCTTAGTACATTATGAAAACCATGTATATTGAATACTTTATCTGTACATCAACCATCAGTTGTCCTTCACATTCTGCATGATTCTTCCAATTCAAATTCCTTCTCATTTTACTTTCATTCTCTTCAACTTGATCTTTTTAGCCTTCTAGTGCTAGGTTTTCCACCTCGTATTGGTGTTACATACCACATATGTCCGTTGAAATAAGTAGCATATACCACATTAGTGTTACTACCACGATTCTTCCCATTATTATTATTACTGTGGATTCTGGAATATTTCTCCAAAAGATGTATTTATTCATTTAAACAAATAAAAATTGATACAAGGAGGCACCAAATAGATATGTGCCACATAAATCACTCGATTTGTGTAAGGGCTGTGGAACTGCTCGGGTGCTCAGACTGAAGCAGCTGGTTTTCTTAGGGCGTCACACCCAGAGCCTTTGACCTAAAGGTTTAATCCACAAGACAGTGGAGCATCGTAAGGAGATGCAGGCTCATGGTAGCCGGTGACCAACAACTGGTTCATATGCCATTTGGTCTTTCAGGATAGTGGGGCCCATGTGCACCATTGGTTCGGAATCACAGTTTTCAAACCCCCCTAGGTATACTCTCTGTGTCCACCAACCCGGTTAAAGCGCCGGACATTCGCTTTTCGTTCTCTCGATTTTGGAAAAAACACTCTTGCCGCGAGAAGGTAGTGAATGAGACTTCCCTGACAGTGGTTGTATGCACGTGGCCATGTGAGAGCATTTTGAGAGGGAGAGCTGACTCTCCTCACTCTCAGCCATGCCAGGGCATTTGGGGTTTTTTCCAAAAGATGTTTGGATGGAATATCTTAGACTCTTTCTGAGCTTCTTAGAGTATCCTCGAGTTCACCCATTGACCGTCCTTACGATTACTGTAATTCAGATAACTTTATAAGTAATTTATGTATATTGGAAAAAAAGCCTGAAATTCATGTTTAAATTTACCTAAAAATATTCATACATATACATTTCTTATCAGGTTAAATGACATTAACATTTGAAAATCCTATTATTAATAACATTAAGAAGGACCTGACATACATGACATTGATCACCACCCAGTTATTAATCAATTGTAAGTAAATCTCAATCATACAGGAAGTCAGTTTCGGCCGCGATAGCTCAGTGGTAACGTGTCTGACTATGAAGTTGGGTGACATGAGATCGAAACCGTCAGGAAATATCAGTTCCCGCAAGATTATAAGTACACTTTGCTGACGAGTGCCAAATAGCACGACTATCTCCAACCATCATCTTATCTTAACACATCAACAATAATAAGTGAAATTTTGTGAAATACTATCTATACATATAATTGTTTTTTTTTCAATTTAACAGCTCTATTTATTATTTTGTTAGTTATTCTCATTGTACAATAGATTGTGTGAACTATAAATTAAAGGTTTTCTTCTCTATCTGGAAAAATTCATTATAAATGAAACACAATCTACTTAATATGTTAA